TGCATCGTTCGTAACGTGCACGCACATCCCGGCATTTTGCAGGTGCTCAAAATGTCATGACATGCCGGAAATGATCAAGGCGTGCTAGTGGGTGGGAGGCACTGCACTGAACACTACGATCAATATTGAAAGTAGGCACCAGGCTGACATGCTCAGCCTTGCAAAACCAAGGAGGTGATTGGCTCAGGCTGAAGAAATGGGTCCGTCCCTTGATCCAGCGCAGGAGACCTCTTACAAGGCCAATGCTGATGACCTCCACCTTCGCGAAGTCCGGCTTCATCTGCACGCGGTACGAGCTCCAGGGACACACGCAAACAGGGCCTGAATAGGCGGAAGCAGAGTGCCCTGCCCGCCGCCCCCCCGGTTCCGGGAGAGACAGCAAGGACACGTCCATGCCTGGAGTTACGTCTTGCACTTGCCTATGCCTTGCGAAGGGAGGTCTGGGCCTGGGCCTGGTTTTGAGGGAGGCTTGGGCCTTGGCCAGCTTTGAGGCGACACAGACTGGCGTGGAATCGTCGAGACTCGCGACGTCGGCAAGGGCGAGGAGCTTTGGGCAGGCAACGGCCTTGTGCCGAGGGCGCCAAAGCCCTGGAGATGGGGAAACCGACACACAAGCCCGGCCAACGTGACGTGGAGATGTTGCAGGACAGTGTACAAGCTTGAAGGCTTGCCGTCTTATCATGCCTTGTCGAACGGTCGAGTTGATCCCAAATCCGTAATTCAAGAATCAACAGCGTCTCAGAACATGCCGTGGCACAGGCACAGTGCAGCCAGTCTGCTGAGCTGTGGGCACACGCGGCGCAGTGGCTCTGCGGCACGTATCCATGCTGTCAATGACCACCTCTGTCAGCAACAACTCCCACAGTCTGCGTGCTGCTGTGATCCTATGCATGCAATCAGACAGGTTACACGTGTGAACGCGGAGCTAGGGTGGACGTGCCAATTCAAGTCTACAGAAACCTCCGATTGCCGGGTGGCAGGGGCATGTGTGCAGCCGTGAATCAGCTCGATACCTTGGCACGTGATGCTCCAGCACATGCTTGTCCTGGCGACAGGTCTGAAACATGGGACTCCTCTGGGAGCCCGAATCTCACACTGCCGCACAATGCCTGCAGGTGTTCTTTGAAGGCATCACGAATGCATGGAAGCCGTGCAAGACCTGCAGAAAACTCCACGGAGTTACGCTGAGCACCCCCTCAGCACTTGACAACGAACATCGGCATGCCAGGTGCAAGGGTGCAGGTGTGGTGGCGTGTTGAAACGAACTCGTGCATTGGCATCGAGCGACCCAGCACATGCTCCATGCCAGCAAAGGCAACGAGAGTACTACTCCTGTTCCACTGCATCCTGGATCTCACACTAACTCTTGCTCCACGACAGCTTTTCGGCGCTGGAGCAACACGAGCGGATGGCGCGTCTGCCAATGACGCTGCTAGAGCCGGAAACAGCTTCTCTCAGCAGAAGGGCCACGGCGGCCGCTTGCACTCAAGCCTGATCGATCACACCGATGCTGCTACATCTGCCCGATGACTATCGCTGAGCTGCTTGCAGGAGCACAGGTGTGGGTAGAGAAGCTCACAGGCCAAGTGAGCCACACGACAGTCCAGCACGTGGAGGCTCTGCATCAGGCTCATGGCTCGCAGACCATGGCCTGCTGGACACAACGCTTTCAAACTGTGTCGACATCTTGGTCCTGAATTCGCACTGACTGTGCCGAAACAGACAAGACATCTGTACATCGCAACCTGAACACCTGTAGGCTGCTGTGGGCACACGCGGCGCAGTGGCTCTGCGGCACATATCCATGCTGTCAATGACCACCTCTGTCAGCAACAACTCCCACAGTCTGCGTGCTGCTGTGATCCTATGCATGCAATCAGACAGGTTACACGTGTGAACGCGGAGCTATGGTGGACGTGCCAATTCAAGTCTACAGAAACCTCCGATTGCCGGGTGGCAGGGGCATGTGTGCAGCCGTGAATCAGCTCGATACCTTGGCACGTGATGCTCCAGCACATGCTTGTCCTGGCGACAGGTCTGAAACATGGGACTCCTCTGGGAGCCCGAATCTCACACTGCCGCACAATGCCTGCAGGTGTTCTTTGAAGGCATCACGAATGCATGGAAGCCGTGCAAGACCTGCAGAAAACTCCACGGAGTTACGCTGAGCACCCCCTCAGCACTTGACAACGAACATCGGCATGCCAGGTGCAAGGGTGCAGGTGTGGTGGCGTGTTGAAACGAACTCGTGCATTGGCATCGAGCGACCCAGCACATGCTCCATGCCAGCAAAGGCAACGAGAGTACTACTCCTGTTCCACTGCATCCTGGATCTCACACTAACTCTTGCTCCACGACAGCTTTTCGGCGCTGGAGCAACACGAGCGGATGGCGCGTCTGCCAATGACGCTGCTAGAGCCGGAAACAGCTTCTCTCAGCAGAAGGGCCACGGCGGCCGCTTGCACTCAAGCCTGATCGATCACACCGATGCTGCTACATCTGCCCGATGACTATCGCTGAGCTGCTTGCAGGAGCACAGGTGTGGGTAGAGAAGCTCACAGGCCTAGTGAGCCACACGACAGTCCAGCACGTGCACTTGGCATTCGTTAGCTCCATGTTGCAACCCTCCTGCCAAGTCGTGTGAACTCACACACCTCCCAGCAATTGAGGTGAGGCATTGAACTGAACCCTACAGACGCACCCGTCCGGCGTTTCCACATGAGCTACGTTAGCAGAGACAACGAAAGTCGACTCCTGTTCCACTGCATCCTGCCAAGACAGCTTTTAGGCGCTGCGGCAGCGCGAGCAGCTGCCAATGACATTGCTAGAGTAGGAAACAGCTTCTCTAAACAGGACAGCGGCCATAGGGGCCGCTTGCACTCAAGCCTGATCGATCACATCCATGCTGTTACATCTGCCCGATGACCATCACTGAGCTACTTGCCGTAGCACAGGCCCGGGCAGAGTGGCTCACAGGCTAGGTGAGCCACACGACAGTCCAGCACATGCACTTGGCATTCGTCCGCTCCATGTTGCAACCCTCCCGCCAAATCGAGTTAAGTCACAGGCCTCCCAACCCATGAAGTGAGGGCCTCATGGCTCACAGATCCTGGTCTGCGGGACCCAACGAGCCTGGTACCGTTGACGCAGCTGTTCTGTCGCACTTATGTAAGCTGCTCATTGGCCTTCCGTTGGCAGCAGTTCCAACAGTGTGAGTGCTGCATCAGCCGACGCACGCAGTCAGACGTGTGAATCATGTGAAGAAGGAGCTATGGCGTGGGTACCATGTCTAACCAAACAGCGGTGCACAGGGTAGTCGCGGCAGCATCTGCGTGGCTTTGCAACACACGCGATGCTTTGCAGCGGTTGATGGTCAGGTGGGCAATCTCCTATTCAAATTCCGCTGCCTGCATGCGATTCAACGCAGAAAGCAAAACCGTACCCTAAATACTAAACAAAAACCCTTTCAAAGGAGAGAGTGACAATTGTGAGTCAAGACAGATCGAGCAAATGGCTCTGACGACGTAAATCGTGCAACTTTGCTAGTTTTGCAATTTCTGCGCGACGAAAACGAAACGAAAGATAACTCGCTAAGGCGAAACGCTGATCGATGCGACATTCAGAAGCTCGCAATGGCTGGTAGAACAGTTTGAACTCGGCGGGCGCTGGGGAAACAGATGCTCTCCGGCAGCGACAGCTCGGCAAAGTGTGCGTCGCTTTTGCCTACCTTGGCCGAACCGGATCGAATGATTCCGACAAGGCCCAAGGTCCCTCTTTCGGAAGAGACGCCGCCCCGACGAGCTTCACCTCACGCGACACATCACGATGGTTTACCACTTTACGCCTGAGACTGCCTGACATAGTTACCACCCTGACTGCCTTGCGTGTTACAGTCGTCAGCAGGCCCACCCTACCCAGCCTGGCCAGCAGGATACCCGGCATCAGCGTCAGCTTCATGTCAAAAGGGATGGGAGCCTTTCTGAGGCCACATTCAAGCTACCAGTAGCCAGTAGCTGCACGAAAAGCCGGGCAATGCTAAGCAAAGCCACTCTCACATCACGCCTTCCCTCTCTTGGAAACCTATTGGCACTCTGCCTAAACCCTCGAAAACTCGGACCAGGCATGCATGAAGCTGGAGCACATGTCGAGCCACCAAGCCTGAAATAATCTCAAGTACGTCTATCGGCCTTGCCATGCCGAACTTCATCTAGGGTTTTTCACCAGGAGAGAAGGCCTCTGCATGCGGCACCATCCGCGGCACCAGCTGCTTTGGCTTCACCCTAAGCCATTGCTGCTGAAGACACAGAGCCCAAGCCGCAAACGTTGTTGAATCAGTTTCAGCCATGCTGACAATGTTTGGGATAGAAGCTGTTGCTGGAGTTGTTGCAACATCAAGACGGACCCCGTCCAAACTTCAGCAACACATGCCTTTGCTACGGAACACGCATCCCGACCCGGATTTTGTAAACAATTCGGGTATCCGCGAGTCCCTGCCTTGCCTAGCCTGGCGAGATCTGGCGAGTGTAGAGCAATGAAGGGGGTTCTGAGCTACGGCGTCCCAACGATCGCAATGTACATAGTACTCTGAGGTTTTCCTGTTCTTTGCTTCTCTAGTTTGGCCCCAATCGTTGCGCAGGAGACCAAGCAAGGGCTAACTAGTATTGCGGACTCTTGTGGCTACCGCAGATGCTATTCCTAAATTCATGTTGGGGGCCCTTGGGGGCTTGTGAGCAACCGGTGAGCCTACATGCATCAAGAGCGAATTAGAAGGTTCCCGGCGTCGTCCGAAGGGGGCCCCCCTTGCACACCGCCGTTTTGCGTCCTGCAAGTTCGGTCAGCCTCCGAGCCGAAAAATGGCCGAGATCAAAGAAGGAGCTTGTGGGCACGAACATCTCGCCCACCCAACTCCACAGCTGCACCCATATGCACCCATAGATCTCGTGCCGGTGCTACTTGACAGCTTGGCCTCCTCGAACGGGTCATCAAGAGCAGACCGGAAGTCAAGCCGACTTGGAAAACCCCGTCCTCCGTCCTGCCGAATACGCCTGCAGACGTGGACCTCCGGGGCAGCTCATCAAGCATATTCTCGTCAGAATCCATCGTTGCCATGGACATCCTGCTTCGTCTTCCCTGTCAACCATGCCCTTGCCCTTCGTCGCACCAATGGCCTCGACCATCTCATCCTGGCTGACGTTAGTCACCGTCAGTTCCTTTTCAAGCCTTGCCTCTGTGCCCCGATTCGCCTGGATTGTCTTCTCCGTCTTCTGCTTGCCACTGCGCTCCTTGTCTGCTTTGTGGTCCTTGTTTGCCTGCTCAACCTCGGCGTCGGGGTTCCTTGCCGGATTGTCGTACTTCGCCATGCTTGCACTCCTCGGAGAAGTCCCGCCCACGCAGCAGTCAGTCCACCAAGGCCAAGCAGGTACTCAACGCAGCCCACGAAGCCCGCCGCTATCAAACCCGGATTTCTCGGCGATGCTATGCGATCCTGACGGGATCTACCATCTCCTGTTTGTGCAACTTGAACTTCCTGGGCCCGTTTCAGGGCAGGGATCCAAGTGCTCCCGCAATAGGGACACGAATCACAGAGCTACAAACGACCTCCTGCTCCGGCATCTGTTGCCGGTCTGATTGCTGCTTTTTTGAGCCGCGGCGGTAGAAAGGCCGAAGAATGACACTAGGGGAACTCACCATGACACTATCACTGAGAAAGCATACTTCATGCCAGCATACTGTTGCGAAATGCGCCGCCTCATTTTTTCAACCGCTTCACTGGACAGAGCCTGCTCAGATCAGAAGCCTGAGCTCACTCGGGGAGAGCTGCTCGTGGCCAGCATCACAGACGCGATCAGGAGGGTTAAGCATGCGAGGGGGCCAGGGCCTCTCATTGAGCTTTACACGGGAAAAACGGCAAGGCCAAGCACTCAGCCAACAAGGGCCGTTTCAGGCATCATTCAACCTAGACCGCTGTATCATGCCGTATACAATACGGCAAGGTACAGAAAGGTGCTGCGAACAGTTCTACCGAAAGCGACATCTCAGCTGAGCATGTCACCACAGCACGATGCCACCACAGAGCGTTACGTGAAGGGAAGATGCACACCAAGGCGCACTTCAGAGATGCTTTAGTAACTACCTTGGCTCCTACTGCAATTGCAGAAGCAGCTGGGGCACTTGTGCGGCTGTTCCCGACTTCTGGCCCAGCCCAACAGCTCGAGAAACAGAGAGGGAAAGCGCAGTTGAATGTTCTCATTGCATCGAGGAAAGACCTTCTCGCCGAGATGGCAGTCTCTCTGTGTGACTACTGATGGGTCTAAGCACTTACGGGCTACGTTCAAGAACCAATCCGGGCGTCCTCGCGCACAATCTTTCAGCTCTCTGTATCACGTGACCTGCATTCTGCTGTACAACGAAACTGAGGACCGCAACGAACCTCGCTGGAGTGTCAGGCAAGATGCACGCCGCGCTTGAGCGACTACTTTAGCTTCGAATTGCTGCAGTTCGTGACTCCCGGCCCCGCCCAATAGCTCCAGCAACGTCTTTTGGACACTCCTACCTGCCGCTGTTCACGGAGAGAAACTGGATGTTGCCAGTTGGCGGAGAAACCTTCTTCCCGAGAGGGCCGTCTCTTTGTGGCACTTTGCATCGACGCTTGGTCAAAATACTTGCGAACTGTGTTCAAGAACCGATCTGGGCGTCCGATTAGTCCACTCGGCTTCACGAGCAAACTGAGGACCACAACGAACCTACTCTTGAGTGTCAGGAAAGATGCACACCGCGCTGTAGCGACTACTTCAGCGTCTGCTGCGATTGTGGAAGCATCTGGGGAACTGCTGCAGCTGTTCGCGACTCCCAGCCCAGCCAATAGCTCCAGCAACGCCTTTTTGGCACCACTCCTGCCTGCCCCTGTGCATGCCGAGAAGAGAAAGGGAGCACAGCTGGGTCTTCTCACTTTGGGTTGGCGAGACCTTCTTGCCGAGATGGCACACTTTTGCGGGCCGTTTTCGTGCTCTGAGTCTGAGGATACTCACCCTCCACAAAGTCATCTCCAGCTGCTCAGCTTCAAAGCTTCAGGCGCTGCCTCTCCCACTGCGCGGAAACGGAACAGGAAGCAGAAAATCCACCGCCCGAGCCTCGCCAATCAGCGCTGCAGCTGGAGCAGAGTCCGCTCCAAGACATCTAGGTCATCCGCTGGCCCAGCCGGGCCCCAATGCTCGTTGATGACTGGCAGCGAGTTGTACCTATGGCCCGGGCCTTCTTAGCACAGGCTGCAGGTGGAACCGTACCCTGGCCAGCTCCGCGCGGCTCCGTGCAACTCTAGCATCTCTAGAGTGTCTCACCCAGAGCCTGAGCCGCAGCGCAACGGAAACAGTTGAAGCTGGGATGGCCACCGCTGTGCCACTCAGAGAGCCTAACTTGGAGTTGCGGAGCCAGACTCCTGCTGGCCATGGAAGCAGCAGCGACCACGCCGACGGACCGGGAGCTACCGGGGACTTGCAAGCGCCAAATGTGGATGCCACGGAGGCCTAGCTTGGGCAATTCGCCTTATTAGCTTGCAGTGACTGGAAGACGGCCTTAAAATAACCACTGTTGAACTTTTGTGAGGCTAAGGTTCCTGAAAAGAGAAGCTTAACAAGTCCCTTTCAAGGCCTTTTCAAAACGCTCAGGAGACGGCGCCCTGTCTTGTGTTGTGCAGGCGTCCTGTCCTTGCCGCCTCACCTGGATTCCACCAAAAGTGGCATAAGCCTGAGAGTTTAACGAAGATTGGAGTGGGCACACCTTGATGTGAACGGGCGCGGTCATGCCGAGCCACTGCAGGGCACTTCGAAGTTGGGGCTGCTGGGTCGCTGGGGCTTAATCAGGTTCAGGGCGTATGTTGGGCTCGAACTGCCTATCTTTTGCGAGAGCACCCAGAATCTTAAGCATCCACCCAGTGCTCTTGCCCTGAGCCTTCCGCTCTGGCCGACCGGCTTCGACGGTTGGTGACTCAAGGCTTGGACGAATCAGGAGCGAAGAACGGCGATCGATGCTCGCAAACTGCTATAGCACCAAAACAAGCCACATCGACGTCTTGAAATAGTGATGGCAGAAGAGACAGGCATAGGACGCCTGCTCTGACTTGGCTTAAGCCCAGCAGCTTCGCATGGCGCGCCCGAAGCGGTTTCCCGCCGCGACAAAGAACACGTCCATTGGTCCTGTTGGTGTGCCAAACTTCTCTGCCCCTGCTTGGGAAAAAGCGGCCCACTTCCATCAGGTAGTCCTAAACAGTCCAACTTCCAAGTACCCCCAACCGTGAGCCCGTACTTTGCCATCCTCCTCCACGAAAGGTGTACTAAACCTTGAGACCCCATACCCGAAAAGCCCAACTATAAACACATTCCCAAGAACTCAAGCCCCTGCAGTTCGACCTGGCAAATCTCACAAGAACTCTGCCAGTGATTTTGCCGTTGGTCGAAATCTAGGCCGACCCTGGTTCGGAAGCAACATTCCCACGTCGTAACGGCTGCGAGCCGCTTCGGGAAGGCAAGGACTTGGAGACTGTGTTCACAGGAGGCTAGCGAAGCTGAGACTACTCCAGTACCTTGTCACAAGCTTGACTTGAGAGACTGGGCTTTAGAGCTGACGGCAGGGCTCTGTTGAGGGTGTTCGCGGTGATGACAAATCGGACACGCGCTTGTTCTAAGCAGGGATTGCAAAGTGCATACTCTCGGTAGGATCATTGCCTTTCCCACCGGATGTGCCATGCACGCGATTGCCAACAACCTCAAGGTCTGCAGAAATGCTCGGACTGATCTCGAGGTGATCCTAGGAAAGGTACCTCGACTCGATCTCGTACTCTGACCCGTATGGAAAGCGGAGCTTCTGTATCACGTGAGATATTGTTTGGCTACCTGAAAACACGAGCGTGGCCCGTGTCCGGGTGGTAAGTTTGCCTGCAGTTTCGAAGCTCTCGATCTCCCGAAACCGACGCGCCAACATGCACCAGTCATCGGAGCATCAGCGCGAAAGCAGGCGCCCGGCTGTGCAATTGAAAGGACGGGCCGAGAGGGTGTGGGGAGAATCGCTTAGAAGTGCGAAGTGCTCACGGTGCATGGCCGGTGGCAGGGTGGTCTCAACGTCAAGGCAATGATGCGACGTGACATAAACAGCCTTGTGAATAAAAGGACACCCCTTTCCGATGTACGTGGCTCCTTGCATCCGGAGTCACGGAGCAGCCAGCACCATGCAGTGCAACTTTTACACGTAGGAGTTCCGACAAATTCTGTGGGAATCGTTGCTCAACGCTTCGGCACGGTTGCTGTGAGGGGCACCGCACGACGACCGTGCGCAACCTGAGACGCCATCCCGAGCCGCAAAGACCTTCTCGGGACAAGTCCGCGGCCAATCAAACAGCCTGAAACCTTCCGGTGGGGATGCCACAAGCATCACTGATTTTGAGAAGATGCGGCCAATGAAGCCGTTCACGCCTGCATGCCGTTGGTGCTGCTTGCATAATGACTATGACCGCTTTCGGCCTTGGACACAACTCAGCTGCGCACACGCAACAACCTGTGCTTAACGCAGAATCCCTCGACAACAAGCTGTGCTGGTTCATATGGTGCTGCAGCGACACTTTCGGGCAGGCTGAGGCTTAGAATCGGAGGTGATTGCACTCAGGACATCAAGCCCAGCATGGAGCCCCCGTGCGCCTTCAACTTGGCACACGAGCTGGCTCTAGGTGGCAGACGTGGCAGTGCCTGCTCGGCGTCAGCCTCGAGGCAGCGAGTCTCTCAGCCGCATCATGCTTCACTCAGAAAAGTTACTCCTCCCCCAACATCGTGTCCTCGAGAAACACTTAACAAGACGGCAAACATTTTACATCCACCCCGTCCTGAAAGGATGTGTCCCGCGTGGCCCTTTGCAATCATGTCTCGGGGGAAACTGATTGTGGCAGTATGCAATCACTTAGCTTCTTGCCCCCCCTCGCAATCGCTCTTCTTACCCAAAGGGCCTGCGTCCGCGAATCAGCCAAAAGGGTGCTTCGACATGTCTGCATTTTGCGGCCCATCGTCAGTCCTCGGGAGCTTCGTGCCCGGCCTCCGCGGTGCGAGGATGCTCACGTCAGAAACACCAAAGGTCCGAGATGGCGAGAAACCCAAATCTAGCCGCATCTAGCCACTAGCCGCGGCAGCAACAGTTGCTTACTTGGGCCTTCCAATTTGTCCGCTGCCTGTACCGGCTGAGCTGACAGCTGCGCCATTCCCGCACTCAAAAGAAAAGAGGGGCAAGCAGTGGTCAGCAAAGCGCACAAGCACCATTGTGCCTTGACCGCAGTCTACTTAGCAGCGGGCAAACGGCCGAAGCAGCCGCAGCGTAGAGAAGG